CTCTTACCTGTGATCCTCTCTCAGTTCCAGCTCTTTCAAAAAGGCTTGCAACATTCGCTCCATTGAGCGTCTTCTTATCGACGCTGTCATAATGCAAATTAGTTGGTAAGCGCAACAGAGGTCACAGGTACTGGACGAAAGCCAGACGTGCCTCGAAGTTTGGCACAAATGGCTCGATTTGAAGGTGAAATTATGGATCTTTTTTTGAGCTGATCTCCAGGAGAGGAAGAAGAGGTTTCCCTCTTTGGCTGGAGCTGAAAAGTTTGCAGTGGATTTGAATTTCAGCGAAAAAAACGGCATGCTTGTTGCGACTGGTCCAGGACCCCAACAGATCGAAGTGACCGGCCTTCACTTCGTTCTATGAAAGGAGTAACAGTGGTTATGCAATACAGTAAACGACAATCAGACACCAAAACGCAGTGGAATACATTGCAGTAAGCCTTTTTTATTCATTTCATTTAAAAAAAAGGAAGGTTCAGCGTTATTTAGCATTCACAGATCTCTGTAATAATTATATTTCTCATACAAAGTCTCTTATATTTTCAACGGTTGCCTGTAACGCGACACTGGCGCGTCACCTATGGTATGTAAATTACGTTACACCCTTCTCTCGTAACGTGAGTTTGGGCCGCCTGTGAGAATACATGCATTCGGTCGTTTGTCAATACGTGCCAACTCGTTAAACAAATAGTCTCTCATATTGAGCTACATTTCATACGCTGTGAAATCTTATTGAAGTTCTCATTTAGTCGCCAAACGTACCCAATGAAACTGAATATTATTCCACACCGTATACCAAGCAAACACAAAGCAAGATGATATTGCAGATTCTGTGCGCACACTCAAAGCTCACTACTAATATTTTAATTTTATCTCAAGTTGACGGCAATGTTTCTTGAAACGCACCCAATTTTTGCTGTTTCTAAATGTCACAAAGTTAAAGAATATTTTTTTAAGCACTCATTTACTACTAGCAGTAAAAAGGACTCATAAAATGTTAAAATTAATGTTCACGCCCCATCTGGTGGATGCTTGTACTGCAAAACGCAGTGGAATACATTGCAGGTAAGTCTTTTTTATTCAATTCATTTAAGAAAAAGTAAGGTTTAGCGTTATTTAACATTCGCAGATCTCAGTAATATATTTCTCATACAAAGTCTCTTATAATTTCAATGGTCGCCTGTAACCACAGGTAGCCTAAGCTCACTATGAGAGCCCAGAACAATATTATCCTACTTAGCTAATTAATTATTCATACAGCAAGAAAATTATAAGAAGTTGTATGGAGAAATATTCTTTGCTCACTAAATTAGCAAAATGTACATTGAATATCCCTTTGAAGATTACCTTTAGCGTCTTTTTGTTTTTCTTTGTATTCTGAATGCATTTCAGACCTCCTAGGCACTGTTTAAGGCCTTTTTTGGAGCGATAGTTTTTCACCCAGATGACAGTAGAGAGAAGAGAAGAGAAGGTTGGCAAACCTCTCTTGACCGGCTGCGCTCTCGGCGGCAATAAATTCCACGACATTTGCGACATGGAGACAATTCCACCAGAAACAGATGTCCTGATAAATAACGCACATTTTCCATCATTCACATCGCCAAAATTCCCATTTCGAAGGTTCTAAATCGCAAATGAAGTGGGCAATACACAGCCGAGGTTAGGCAAGTCGAGAGCAGACCCGCAACGGACTCCAACCGTCAAGTCGACAATTTCAAACCGACGCAGGCTGGTAGGGTCAAATTGTTCAACCGTCAAAGGACAACTGGAGCATTTAGCCTACTGGGCACAGTAACTGATTTTTCACTTCTCACATTGCATGCCGGAGTCACGGAAGTCAAGCATCTTACCTTTCTCTCATGATTAATAGTATACGCTCTTCTCACTTATGGTAATATGCCCGTCTAACCTCGTTTACGGGTAAAAATTCTTTTGAAATTCAAATACGAAAACGTCGTCTGATTAGCATTTGAAAGGACTTTTTACTCAAAAACGAGGTTAGATGGGCATATTACCATACGTGAGAAGAGCGTATTGTCAAGAAATCCAATCAACAGAAAAATAGCTACTACAATTTGAATCCACATTTCAGAAATAGTTTGCTTGCGCTGTAAGCAGCTGATGTATAACTTGATCTAAAAATCCATCTAGCTAATGTGGCAGAATTACCAAGAGAAAATTCAATGAAATATTTATTTACATATTTCCTCTCTGTAAAAACACTCCCAACAGATGAGAGCACCTGCCGGAAGATCGTGTCCCCAAACTTGCTACTTACTGCCAATTGTTGAAAAAGGGAAGAAAAATAGCTAACAACTGTTTACAGCCGTAGTAATTCTTATTGCAATATTTTTTTCTAAATCATACATAAAAAACTATTGTCAAACGCTTTTTAAAAAGAAGAGTAGAGATCAACCAAATGCAGCAACGCGACATGTTTTGAAAAGAAAAACAAAAAGATGCTTAAGGTAAGCTTCAAAGCGATATTCAATGTACATTTGCTAATTTAGTGAGCAAAGAATATTACTCCATACAATGTCTTATAATTTTCTTGCTGTATGAATAATTAATTAGCTAAGTAGGATAATGTTGTTCAGGGCTCTCATAGTGAGCTTGGGCTACCTGTGCTGTAACGCGAACGTGAGTTTGGGCCACCTGTGGTATTCTCTGCTAATATCGTGATCTACATCATACGTAACAAGCTACTCATACATGTACATCTGTAGACAAAAAAACTGACAAATAGTACGCCAATACCTTTGGATCCTTCTCATAATATGACTGCTGTGATCTTATCCACTTTCCGACTAAGTGATCCTTTACTGTGTGAGCCAAGAACGTATAATAATCTCGTTTGGTCGCCACATTTCGATCCTTCACAAGCGTAAAGTACAGATGCCGATTGAAGGATTCTTTAGGACTGCTAACACCTTCGACGAATGGGATCCTTCGAAGGGAGATTTCCCTTTCTTTCTGCGTCTGTTAACGGTTTTTCACCCATAGCTTACAAGATATAAAGGTAAACGCCCGAGAATTCAGACTTCACTGCCCACAGAGCAGTTCAGCGCTTCAGCGCCTGGCCCCGCAAAGCAAACAAGCATCCCTCACAATTTTGGATCCAGTCTCCAATCAAAATTTCCTGCGCGCTGTCGGTTGCGCGCAGTAGCACTTTTCTTGGTCCCTGGAGCAAAACGCGCGAGACACGCAAGAAAACCTTGCAAGGAAAAGAGAGACTGCTCGCAGTCTAAGCGCAGTGGGATATCCCTGGGCTTACATCTTAGGACGGTTTAAACGAGGGGGGGGATTGTATCATCCGAGGGGGCTTAAAAAAAGCATAAAAAAGCGCTTTAAGAAAACAAACTTTAGAAAGGCGGATCAAAATACCAGGAGCCGAGTAATCGGCTCCTGAAAATACCTTTTGCATTTACTGATACACTATTTAATTGAGCGTCAAGGCGTGATAATAAATTTAATTCATTTCCAGACTGTACAAGCTCTGGCCCTCAGGAAGGATAATTTTGTTAGCCGAAATATTGGCGTATAATAAATCAGCCCTTTGCCGTAGTGCCAGCCCTGCACTCAGTTTTGTTTTATTTGGAGGGGCTTATCACTGAATAGGATGTATTTTTTTGTTTACAGGTAGATGGGCCTGTAACTGGGAGGGATTTTAAGTGGAGGGGCTTACAAGTGCGAATTAAACGCGTATTTGATCACGACTGTGGGTATTTCCAGGGGAGAGGTTTTCTCAGCCACTCCCCTGTGTCCATTGCGCACCTCATGCTCAGTAGAGAAGAAACAATCCGGTGAATCAGTTTGGGCATCTATAAACCAAGACGCGCTACTGGAGCAACTTGTGGAAAGCCCTAACCACGGCCTGTCCCTAACATAGAGTTACTCTTACTTTTTTTTTCATCAAAAAAGTTAGTACGGTTATTTATACTGAAGGAGGTTAAGCCCTCTCCTGATAGCAAAAGGAAAAAATTCTCAACATTTTCTATAACTTGTTTTCGCCACTACGAGACTGTCCCACTACGACTATTCTAGCTAAAACTCGTCAGTAGAATTACGACGGCCGTTGCACGTTTTCCCGCCAAATGACACTGGTTCACGCGTGAGCACTACTTAGTATTGAGAAAATCTCCTACTTGCAGTCGTCCTCGTCTCAGAAAACCTCTCTATTATCTAGTTTCTGCAATAAGTGACCAGAAGGTCATAGATTCGACTTCTGTGGGGAGTGCTCGGATCATTTCTTCTGTGAGCTAGCCTGCGTAGCTGACGGTTTTTTTGGTCTGTTTTTTTTTGTTTGTTTTACCGTTGTTTATTTGTGGTTCGAAAAGTAAGAGTGACAGCCGCCCCATTCCCAAGTAGATTAAGGCCTTGTTCTTCACAGATTCTGAGAATTTGAAAGTAGGGTGGTCTAATGTAAAGTATTTTCAAGATATCCTGTGACTAGCAATTTAAGGCTAACCCAAACCAAGAAATCTTTAAATTTCATATTAAACATTACAACTGCATCAAGTGACCAACCACATCCTGTTTTATTTAGAAATCGTTTGGGTCGAAATACCCAATATATAGAAAGCAAACCGTTTTCCTTTCATAGGTCCTAACGGTGGCTACCAAGGTCGATCGCGCCCTCCCTATCGTTTTCTTTTTCGTCCTCGCTTTAGCTTTCGCGCAGCTGAATCTCTTACTTTACGAACCAGGGGCACTGAGTGAAATAAAACCTTTCTGATGAGCCTTTAACTATAAAAATTGACGTATCACGATCCTTGAACAAGAACAATCTAGCCGGGCTCTCTTGTGTCTCCTGTGAAGAATCAGTTAAATTACAGTAAATAATGAAACCATTATTTCAAATGATGTTATTACGAAAAGTATAAGTTTGTCAGCCTTCAAAGGTCTGCAAATACGTCAGCTCAATATTGATGTCAGCTATGCGACACTAAACCTGGGCTGGCTTTAAGAGAAAATCAGACCAAGTAATCAAGAAATTCATTGCTCAAAAACGTGTTTATTATGCACACTCCGCAAACACAAAGTTCATGTGTACAGTTTCTTCTAACCACACTCAATTACAAAATCTTTTTTCACAACAAAACCACAAACAAACATGAACCAACAAAGAAACAACTTAATTAAACAAAAAAGCAAAATTTTATCCTTCGAAAGGCAACACTTGAAATGGTGCTGGAGGTACTAGTCCCTTGTAATTTTACTGAACAAAGATGTATCCCATTGCTTTGATGTGCTTGTCTCCGTTATCTGCCCCGGTCTCGGCAGTAGCTTCGTTTCCACACGTGTTGTTGTCATCGGGGCCTCCTCCGGTACCAAACCCGATTCTAGAGTCACAACTTATGCAGTCATGTTCGTTGTTTCCAAGAATACCAATTCTGGCTGCCCTGAGGACCTCTTTGGGATGGCTGAAGCTCCATTTGGTGTTGAATCCCTCCTGGTTACAGTGAGGCTGTAGGGAAGCAGAACCAATCAGCGACTTCCACTTGTTGCGACCCAGAGAGCTAGGGCGGTAAACACCATCAGAAATCAGTGAGTGGAGGGAGTGCGCTTGCTTGAAGAGTACAACGAACTTTTTTCGGTGTCCGATTTTCATTCCCAGACAGATCTTTGAGAAGGGTGTGTTCGAGTAGGTTGGAAGCTTAGTCTCATGTGCGTCGATCCCAGTCTTCCCTCCCGGAAGGTTGAAATTGACCTTGTTGCTCCAAAGTTTGGAATTGAAGTGAAAAGTTGGCTACGATAGAAACGTGAAAATAAATAAAAAGGAATTTGTAAACGGGTAATTCTCTATGAAACTGCAAAAAGGTCATCACAAAAAGTTAGGGGGAATTTCTTTGAAGATTCTCAGAACTAGATTTTTAATAACTGACCCTGGCTAATAACAGCATTAACTACGGCGTGGAGGACTATGTTCATGCTTTTGCCTTAATTCTGAGCCAACAGATTGTAACAATACCTTATGGCCATCAGTTTTCATCACCAGCGTCCATCCCCCTCCTCCACATGCGCCAAGTCCAATATTTGTCATGTGACAGTACAGCAGCACCTTCCCAGACTGCATTTTGAGTGGATAAGCTCTATTTCCGCGAGCTCTGTCAAAAAAAATCAAACTGATGAAATTTACTTACCTCTTTCCGCTTTTATTCGAGGGCATTCATGAGTGAAATAATGACTAAAAAGCGACGGAGAACGTGGCCGTTGTTGCATGGTTAGTGACGGTGGGGGGTGAATGTACTCAGTTCTTTACAGTTGACACGTCATCCCTAATTGATCTTAAGCCCTCTTCTAGCTTTGAGAAATAGGAGAAAGTAAAAGACTAATGAACAATGTCATCATGTGCAAAAATGTAGGGCTCAGTTAAAGTGGTCAACTAACGTACTCTACACTTCAATTTCTTGTCCTTTAGAAATTGCACTCGTAGACAAATTTGAACTTACTTATTATTGTCGTAAATGTCCTTGCAGGTTTGAAAGCCAGACATGCCTACCGAAGATGAAATAACATGATTTGATCAGTTGTTTTGGTCTTAATAAAAGTGACTGTTTACCATGCATGGGCGCCATAACTTAAGGAATCACAGAATTCATTGATTGAATTATTGCAGATTTTTATTATTGATTTGTTAATTTCTATTTCGAAAAATTGAATAAGAAGCTTAGTTTTTAAATGCAGATAAATAACAATTAAATTACGCAATTGAAAAAAAGGAACATAAAGTGCCCACACGAAAACAACTGTGCTGTATGTTGAATGTCGATAGCGATTTACCATTGCGAGGTTTTATCATTAATTGAACTAGCTCTCGCTTCACCGAGAGCTAGAGAGCTTCTGTTTCTCAGAGGGTCATTGATATAGATAGCAAATAATAGTATCTTTAGAGTCAAGAGCCACACATACACATTACATCCCTCTAACTTGCCTCTCATCTCATTTTAATATATTTTAGTTCACTCGATTTTTTTAGTAGCATGAAATCCGAAGGTACAGTCTACAGTAGGTAGAGTGATATCGCGTGACCACTTGACATATTGACTTAAAGGCGAGATACCTTTGGTGTCGCAATCTAATAATACGTACCGGGCCCACTGTTTGATGTTTCATGAGCTGTGGCGTTCACTACAGCGATTAGTTGATTGAGTTTTCTCTCCAGCGTTGTTTCAAGTGAATTGATGGCTTTCTCAATGTTAGACGCAGAGGCGGTGCTGGCCGATATAGTCAAATAGTAAATGATAAACCAAACCCTAGTACTGGGACTGTGTCACATTTTGTTGAGTAATCTTTTAAATCGAATTCTCTTCACGAAGTTTACTGAAAATCTCGTTAGCGCCGTGAGGAACCGTAATGTGCACCTACTTCCTCTGAGTGCGTATTTCAGTTCAAATTGTTTGAAATCAAAACGAGAAAATATTCTCGCATGTAAGTTACCCCACTGGCTAATTAAAGCAGTCTGAGCAGAACTGTTTCGGGTGTCCGTAAATCAGTATTCGAAAGTCGAGTCAATCAATGAATTAAGTTATTTGATTTAACACCGCTACCCTGATCCAGGCAGCCCTTATCCAGCGAGTTAGAAGCATTGAACTGAGAGGAGATGTAGCAAGAGAAAATAGAGCGAGCGATCAGACAGTTTGATTATAAGCCCAGTCGGTTCTGAGAGGCGAATAGGAACGAAACACTTTTTGGGCCTCGAATCCCCTTTATTACTGACATATCTACGGCGAAAAATAAAAGCGGGAAAACAAAGTAATTAAACACTATAGCAATCACATAGTTGGTAACCTATTTTCACTATAAAAATTAACGTTAAAAAACAAAAACGTTTCGACCGTTCGACGGTCATTTTCAAGTTCAGGCCCCAGTCGTTCAAAACCGGTGGATAACGCTATCCACCGGATAAATCTCTATCCACTGGATAGTGCAATCGGTTTCCCTAACTATCATCCGTTGCATGGATAGTGATTTATCCGGTGGATAGCGCTATCCAACTTTTAAGCAACTGGGGCCAGAGTTAAAAAAACTTAGCATGTGCTTTTTTATACAGTTGTGAAAAGGCTAATGAGATAGTGACTAAAAACTCTAAAGTATTTACATAGAAACAATACAAGAAAATTACAGAGTCAATGATAAAATAAACCCTAAGGCGATAAAAACGATAAAAGATGTTTAAAAGTGAAATAATTAAACAAATAGCTTCGAGCGCCGGATCGAGTCACTCATAAGAAGAAACAACCGGTCCGTCCAATCCTGTCAGCAACGGGAACTATAACTCAACGGCAAACCGTTTCCCTTTCTTGGAATGGTGAGAAATGGTCCCCAACTAGAAACGAAGGACTCTGCGTGAAACCAACCGATACTAGCTAAAATTTTACTGCATTACCAAAGCAATGTTGATGTGAAGTACAAACATTCTCTGCTGAAAGGCCATGGTTAACCGTGCGTTCAAACTCGCTGATCTTCGCATTAGCAGTTTTTTCATCAACAATGTGAACGTCTTAAAAAAGGTTTTTGCTCGCTTGCCACCCTGAAACCCTCGTAGAGAACATCATCAGACATTTTATTGAAACGAAACTTACTGAGAATGTGCAAGGGGTATCCGATGAACGAGATGTTCCCGTCCCAAAATTGTCTCACCTTTCCAAGACCAGAAATCACCAACTCAGTGATCTCAGCAACCTCGAGCTCATTCCCAGGGTTCTCTCCTACTCGCCCCATTGACGGATGGTCTACACGATGCAGACTTGTCAGCTTCACGAGTCGACACTTACATCAAAGTGTCAGGGAGGAACTCCAGCATCGCGTATACACAATCATAATACAAGATTTGTCAGTAATCTGAACTATTTTAGGCCAAGAGTATCCACCAACTTAGGTAAGACGTCCTTTAAATTCTCCGCTCCAAAAATCTGGGAGACTGTACCGCCTGGTCTCAAGTGTCTGCCATATCATAAGTTTAAGAAAGAATGGAAGTCCTGTCTTCTAACCAACCAAATCTGACCTTGCTTATATGTTCTATCACTGATATTATTTGAGATTTTATTCCTCTCTTTACTGCTGCCAATTATTTCAACATGACGGTGTCCAACAAAAAAGCTCTTGCTACTTTGGACACCGTACACAAATGAACTTAATGTCTTTTAGTTAATTATTATTTGTCAGCTACTTTATTTTCCTACGACGTACACTTATGTAAATATCTTATATAGTGTGAATAAAGAATTGAATTGAATTGAGGAACACAAGCGATCAACAATCGGCAACCACTAAAAGGATGAGCATGAAAAGGATCCGGAGACCATTACAACAGGGGCACCCAACGAGGATATAGTTCAAAACCACTTATCATAGCATTGTTGAACGTATTTTAGTATTCAAACGGTAGATATATATAGGCATATTTTTATTCCCCAAAAACTTTCCATCTGTTCGGATTTCCTAGCTGAAAGTCTAGTGATCCGAAAATTATAGGGATAAAAACTTACCTTCTCGAAGATTTCAGGCAGGAAAAGGCTCCCGAAAATTCTAGGTGGCCTTTTTTAAGGTCAAAATCCGTTAAAAATGGGCAATTATACCATTTTGTAGATGTTCGAAAATCCTAGGAGAGGCAGGCAAGCAAGAAATTTTACAACAAATGCTCCGAAAATTCTAGATCTCAAATCGTCTTCCGAACAGATATTTTCCCGAAAATTGCCGTTGGGTGCCCCTGATTACAAGCAATTTCATAATCTTAAGAAAGTGTCAGAACAAACTCGACTGTTTGATTTTTAATCAAAAATGATTTTTCGAATAGCTCTTTTGTTATGGAGCGAATGTGTACAGTCGTTGGTGATAACGCGTAAAAGGTAGGCCTAGGGACATCCACTGGTAGAGCGATGTGGAATGTTTGGACAGGAAACATATGTCAAAAGGGATGCTGATTTCAAAATGTCCGAGACTGTTGGAATTCAAGAAATGCAAATTCTATGATTTGTTCAATTTGGTATTCAAATAAGAAACGTTTTGTCTGATTTCGAAAGCAGTCATTAGCTCTAGCGTTGAATTTTTTTCGAACATCACGAAGTTTAAAAAACCCAAGCATTATATGCTTCAAATCCCCCTTTACGGACACCCGCTCAACACGGACACCTCATTATTACGGATAGTTTGCTTTGCCCTTGGGAAAAGAAAGCCTTTTTTTTTTTCTCTTCATTCAACCCGCTTAATACGGACACTTTCTATTGCCCCTCAGTGCCAGTATTAACGATGCAATTTCGGAGAACGACTGTTTCTGCAGTCAGTACAACTAAGGACACTCTAATTGGCAGTGAAAACCCGTTTAGGTTAATGAGATTAAATTTTCTCTTCTATGTAAGGGACGGACCATTAGAAAAGTTATGGGGGGCGGGGAATTTTCGAGCCGCAGGAATTTTTTTTCTTTAATGTTTCCCGTGAATGAATATTTTTTTTGGTCAAGATGTTGTGCAAGAATATTTTTTTTCCTTGAAGTAACACTAAACTAAAAAAATATTAAATCATTCAGTTGTTCACTTAACCAAGGGCATAATTTAAATATAGGCTACCTGGGCACGTATGCGAAAGTAAATTGATACATATTCTAAGGTACAGTTCACAATAGCCTTTTATACACAAGGTATCCTGTATTGTACATGCATTGGTACTGCGCAGGTTTATTGCATTGCTGAAATTTTACATGTAAACAGCATTATAAATAAGGCATTCTAAAAGAGTGTACAGTTGACTCTCTCTTAACGGACACCTCTATAAGACGGACACCTCTGTAAAACGGACACATTCAGCTGGTCCCTGGCTCTCTTTACTCCTTTTATTTGACCAGCAATAAAAGGGGGAGGTAGGCCTACACGACTTTTACCTCATGCCAAAATGCTGCTTATTCCAATAAAGTTGTTTTATCTGCTGGGTAGATTATGCTCTGGAAGGTTCTGCATTTATACTGAGCAATGTGATTTTAGTGCTACATAAACTTACCATGGAGAATCGAATTGTGACTCAGTAAACTCCAGCTTAGTGTTTTTCTAAAGATAGTGTGAGTCTTTTGACTGGAGCGCGTAGTTCCTCCCTTGGTAATAGCTTTGAATAAGCTTAACAGTCTTTAAACTGTTTTGTTATTGCCACAGTTTGTGATCAGGCAAGACCATGGTTTCGTTCTCCTCACGAACCTCGTCAGTTGCCGGGTTGTCGGCGTTCTGCGTTCTGCATTCTGCGTTCAGTGTTTTGCATTCTGCAACATACCCCTACCATTGACAAATTATGATATATTCTTACCATATCGATACGTTTAAGTTTTTGTTTATAAAATACAATTATGATGATGATATTGTTATTATCAAGAATCAGAACGGAAATTGTCTAAAAATGTGTGGTAAAAATAGATAAATTTGACCAGATGTTTAAAGTCTTTAGGCTGCTAGTCTGAAAAGAACATGTATCTTTGAGTTAGTTCCATTTTTCTAAAAGGGCCGGCAACAACTGTAAAAACAAAATCTAAGAAAATAGATTTTTTTATTATTTTTATTTTTATTTATCTGTTGCTTGTTAGAAGTACCAGGAAATAATATATATTCTGGATGTTTCTGGGTGTTTCCTTCGATTTGTGGGGAATACTCACTGTAAATTAAAAAGATCTGGTTCAGCCCCAAAGTGTCAATTCAGCCCTACAGGCCAAAGTCTGATTCAGCCCTTCTTGGAGCCATTTGAGCACAATTCAGGCCAAAAAAGCTCTACCAAAAGGCTATTCCAGCCCACGGTAGGGCCCATTTCAGCCCTGGGACCAAATCAGCCCTAGCTAATTAGACTGTATTGGCCCTGATTTAAGGGAGCCAAATTAGACAAAAAATAGGACTGTATTTTACTCACCGAAACGGCCCTGTTTTTGGGCTAAAACAGATCTTTCTGATTTAGAGTGCTCTGATTATTGTTATCTATGGTATTTAAAAGAAATGATTTGTTCCAGATATTAGATATATAACACAACGTAAGGAAATGATAACCTTATAAGATGTTGATTTTTTACAATACATAGAAAAGTATAATTAAATCTATTTAAAGTTATTTAATAATCGTATCTGAAATTGACAGCCATTAAAATTTATGATAAGCTTACAAGCCTTAGATATATTTTTTTGTATCGAGTATGATTATTTACAGGACCAAAATTCAGCAGGAAGTTTATTCCCCTGCAAAGGGCTGATGTTTTGCAAACAGTACGCTTTCCTGCCTGCCTTCTTGAGATTTGTGCAAAATGTGTGGAAGGCCAATGCAGGAATTTTTTTCCTGGTCTACTCAGCATGCATGAATTTTTTTTCTTTACTTCGCCCCCCCATAACTTTTCTATTGGTCCGTCCCTAAAATGAATGCTCTCTGTATATGTTGGATCAACTCAAATGAAAGCGTCGTACCAATCTTTGTAGACTACGATTAGTCCCTCATTTTCCCTCAGGGATAGTAGAGCGAACGAAACGCGTGTGTGCGTGAAAATCATCCAACGCGAGAAAGGCGAGACGCGGCGGGGAGAGAGAAAAATCAGGGACTACAGACAAAGCCCAATCTCTCATGTTTTTCTCTCCCCGCAGCGTCTCACCTTTCTTGCGTGGGGTGATTTTCACCGCGCGGTCGCGTTTCGCTCCCTCTACTATACCTGAGGGAAACAAAGGATGCTCGTAGTCTACGACTCCGGTAATTCAGGTGGAAGTGTGCAGCATACTACCTGGAACAAATACTCCGTTTGAGACCAAAATATTTGATTTTCCATACCCTGAACCACTAATGTCAAGGGATGGATGACAAAAAAAAAAACAGATAATAACAAAAAACTAAAATAAAAACATACACTTTTTCCCCAGGTTTGAGAGAGGGAGCATTCCATTGTTTGGCCTAGACGCGTAAGGGGATGTGCCACTGCACAAGATGTGGTTTTCTGGGTAATTCCAGACCCTAGATTTATAAGAGTATTTCCGCCCCCGTGTGTGAATAGGACTAACTGGCACGATTTGCTAAGCACTGTGAATAAAGGTCTCTTTAACAAGCCCCTTTTGCAACTTATTTACTTACAGTAAAATCACCAGAGGATCAAATATATGACAAAAACATATTTTATTTAGTTATTTTTTTACACACGTCCTGGCTTTTTTGGGATCGAGTTGTTGCGCAAAGTTTGAAACCGGTCAAACTTATGAGCTAACAACTCCCACAGTTTCCTTTGTTCCGTGATCGCTGAAGTGCAGCCCAACAATTTTGGATCCGTTTGCACAGCTCTTTCAACATAGTTAAGGTCACGCACGCGCATTACAAATGTTTTCCAAAGTCTCATGGGTTGTATCCTTCCTGCAATGCACTGCAGGTCTCTACATCGTTAGAAGTTGTTGCATCCGTTTGCATACCACTATCAACACGGACGCAACAACTACCAACATTGTTGGCTCAACCATGTTGGAAGTCTGTGTCCGTTTTCACTTAGCTTATCACCAGCTCTTGTTTCCATCATAAATGCTGTGGACACAGTTTTGTTTGGTATTTTCTGATTGATGCTAGCATAAAAGAGGGAACTAGTGAATTTACAGATTTTAAGAACTGCATCAGGCAATTATTATGCCTGTCTTGAAATCCAAGTTCAGAGCACAAATAAATGAAGCTTCCCTTGTTTGAGAGGAAACACCGGCTTGAAAGAACACAAGCTATTGATTTCTATAGCGGTGAAGTGTAACGGCCATCGACAGTTTTTGACACCCAGTCTGTTCCTACCACCAGGGCCCAGTTGTTCGAAGGCCGATTAGCGCTAACTCTGGATTAAATTTTAACCCGGATTTCTTTCTCTTTTGCTCAAAAGCATTTTCTCGGATAATTTTCTCTCTTTTTTTAGAGCATCCAATCATCAACTTCTTGACAAAAATAATTAAACTGAATTTACTTTATAAGCTTTTATATTTGAACTCAAATTTCGCACTAACCCTGGGTTATCTTAACCCAGCTTTGAACAACCCATTTTGAGTTACGTTCAAAATGTGTGGTGACCTTTTTAGTAGCCTGAGAAAACAACCGACATTTGGCGACGCTACCACTGGTGACGTCTGAGAAACGAGCGCAGAAATTCCATACTGATGACGCGTCACTACCCAAATCTGGGTAGTGCTTGTGAGTAGTCGTGCTGTGTGGGAAATTTGATTCAACCAATCACAAGTACTACCCAGATATGGGTAGTGCATTGTGATCAGTATGGAATTTCTGTGCTCGTTTCTCAGACGTCATTTGGCGGGGAAACCAGTGGTAGCGTCGCCAAATGTCGGCTGAAATTAGTGCCTGCAACTAGTGACCAGAAATTTATAGGTTCGACTTCTGTTGGGAGTGCTAGGAGTTTTTCTTCCAAGACACCTTAATTTTGTCATACACTACTGACTGAAAATCAATCTGTCTATGAGCTTTTTACTTTAAAAATTGACGTAGATCACGACCCTTGAACATGAACAAGCTGGCGAGGCTCTCTTGTGTCACTTGTAAAGAATCAGATTAAATGAACCATTATTTCACATGCATGATGTTATTGCGAAAAGTATGGAAAAAATATCCAATCAATATTGCAGAAGTTGTAGAAAAAAGAAAGGTAGAAACTATGTCATTCCGAGTTTCCAAACACTCCCTGTGTGTGCCGTTCACCTTCAAGTTTGTCAGCCTTCAAAGATCTGCAAATACGTCAACTCAATATCTATCTCAACTATGCGACACTAAAGGTGGCTTTAAGTGAAAATCAGACAAATTAATCAAGAAATTCATTGCTCAAAAACGTGTTTATTGTACACGCTCCGCAAACACAAACACACAAAATTATATCCTTTGATAGACAGCGCTTGAAATGCTTTTATTAGGAATTCTCTCGTTCTTAATACACAAGTGCTAGTCCCTTGTAATTTTACTGAACAAAGATGTATCCCATTGCTTTGATGTGCTTTTCTCCATTATCTGCCCTGCTCCCGGCTAAAGCTTCGTTTCCACACGTGTTGGTGTCATCGGGGCCTCCTCCAGTACCAAACCCGATTCTGGAGTCACAAGTAATGCAGTCGTTTTGTTCGTTACTAAGGATACCAATTCTCGCTGCTCTGAGAGCGTACGCGGGATTGCTGAAGCTCCACTTGGTGTTGAATCCCTCCTGGTTACAGTTAGGCTGTAGGGAAGCTTCGGAACCAATCAGCGACTTCCACTTGTTGCGACCCAGTGAGGTAGGTCGGTAAAGACCATCAGAAATCAGTGAGTGGAGGGAACTGGCTTGCTTGAAGAGTACAACGAACTTTGTCTGGTGTCCGATTTTCATTCCCAGGCAGATCTTTGAGAAGGGTGTGTTCCAGTAGGTTGGAAGCTTAGTCTCATGTGCGTCGATCCCAGTCTTCCCTCCCGGAAGGTTGAAATTGACCTTGTTGCTCCAAAGTTTGGAATTGAAGTGAAAAGTTGGCTGCGATAGAAATAAATAAATAAACAGATTACGAGATGAAATAAGAAATTTGTAAACGTGTAATTCTCTATTGAAAAAGTCTATCACAAAAGGTTAGGAGCAATTTTTTCATAGATTTTTAAAACTGTGATTAATAACTTAACCTGGATGTTAGTCTCTCGACGCTGTTAACTATGGCGGACTATGTTCATGTTTTTTCCTTAATTTTGATAAAGCAGATTGTAAGAATACCTTATGGCCATCAGTTTTCATCACCAGCGTCCATCCCCCACCTCCACATGCGCCAAGTCCATGGCTTGTCATGTGACAGTACACCAACACCTTTCCAGACTGCATGTGAAGTTCATAGGCTCTATTTCCGCGAGCTCTGTCAAAAAAACAAATTCAAACTGATTGATGGAATTCGCTTATCTCTGTCCTCTTTTGCTCGAGGCCATGAGGACGTTGGATTAAATCAGTCATTTAATTGTCGGTATGTGGTAAATCTTCTCGGCTAGTTCTCTACGGTTGCTTCCCACGATAAAATTCTCTCTTCGTCCGCTCCTTAAAGCCGGAAACAAATAGAAGACTATTGAATAATTTCATCAACTGCAAAAGACGCAGGGCTCAGTTAAAGGGATCGACTAATGAACTCTTAACTAGAAGCTGCAAGCGTTAGTGCAATTGAAATTTGAACCTACTTATTTTTGTCGTAAATTTCCTTGCAGGTTCGAAAGGCAGACGTCGGACTCCCAGCTACCAGAGATGAAATAACAACAATTACATGATTTAATCAGTTGTGTTAGACGTAATGAACTTGTTTTACCAGAGGGGCCGTTACTTAAAGAAATCACAGAATTAATTCATTGAATTATTGCAGATTTATATCATAGACTTGTTTCGCAAAAAGTTTTCAAATGCATATCAATAACAATTAAGTTATACGACATATTTTACAATTAATTTCCATTAGCATGAATAAAAAACTGTATGAGTAGTAATGAAAATGTGTATACAGAACGTCAAGGAAACAAAGTCTGTTGACAGTTTTTAAAACCTGCTGAAAACTCTTCTTTTTAGGCAAACATTTTTAAATTCATACTGATAAGCTGTAAAAAGTTCTTATTGTGAGTTCGCACGGTTTTCTTGGTCTTCCAAAAAGTCTTATAAGTGATACCATTAAAAGTAAATATATTATAATTATTTTACACTATATAAAGCTTCACGTTTAAACCTTAAAATAATTTAATTAAAATGTGTTATAGCTTTTTCGTCCTTCTTCTGTGCGGCATATACGACGAAGTCACTGCGATTCGAGTTGTCCGCCATACTTGCAGACACCTTGCTTTTACGGACATCCCGATAATACAGACAGCACCTAAATCATAATTAATGCATTAATTTTGATCGGCACATGTGAAATGCGAAGTCTGAATCAAATGTCGAATATAAGGCGAATCTTCCACTGTTTCAGTCGCAGATTCGGCAAAGTCGTATTTGATTTGAAACTGTCAAATCTAATTGATTCAGACGTTGCATCTCACATACAGTCAACTCTTGAATTAAATTCGGCACATGTGATATTCGACGTTTGAACCGGGGTCGGCCAGGGATTTTGGTTAAACAGTATATTAATTTCAGGTATACAGGGTTTTTGTGCTTAAAATTGGATCTTCACTCATGACTAATTCTGGGTCTAGAGTATACCGTAGTTTTCTTAATTTTGGTATTTTACACGAGTTTTAGTATAATTTTTGGTATATTGGAAGGTTTATTTCGTGTATTTTGGTATTCCACTACCCCACCGGCCGACCCTGTTTGAAATAGGCCTTAAATAGTAATAATGTCCAGTAACTATATTAAAATACCGGCCGGTAAATACTCTACGATACATATTTCTTTGTTTATGTTCCTGTAAACTTTGCTTTCAAGTTATACTATATTATGTTACTGGCTGTTTGCACCACAAGTAAGGAATATAACAGGTAAAAAAAACAGAGAGAAAAAGAAAGAAAAAAAGGGACTCGAACTCGGACCCTCTCAACTGGAACGCAGTGCTTCTCTTTACTAGTGACCTCCTCAATCTGTCGTGGTTTAAGTTCAAAACAGAAAAATATGTATACATTCCCTCTGCGACTCTGATGATTGACAGTTTTCAAGAATGACTTTTTCGGTTTCTGTGTAGAATCTTAAACTGATCGGAGATAGACGTAAAGCTCACCAAAAACTCATTGATACTCTTTCAGGCTTGGTCCATACAAATCCGTTGGAGGAATTTATGAACTATTGATCGCGCGGCTACTGACTGAACCGTACGATTCTCTCAATCCCAGTCTGTAGCAGCTGCTCTTAAGGTGACTTTTCATTGTCGGAGAAACATTGAAACAACATTGTTTATCATTATTTCCATTGATTTAAGGTTAGGGTAGCAAACCATTTGGCTTTTAGGATTAGAGGAGCTGCTACATGACCTCTCTCCCCGGAAAGACGGAAAACACTATCACCGCCAAATAGATCCTTTTGGCTTATTAAAGTTCTCCTTAAATAACAAACTTTAAACTTTTATTTCGGCAAACAGACTGTTTTAGTGGAAAAAGCATTCTAAAAAACTTTCAAAAGTAAGCTAAAGTAAGTCTCCTTTTCGATTTAAACTTGCAATATCGGCCAATTTACGCAACTTCTAAACTTCTGGCTCAACTTTCGTTTGCTTCTGCTTTGAAAATGGAAGTATAATTACTCAGAGGCAATACAGTGTGAAGATTTGTAGAAAAAACAACGAAAACTTGCCAATTTATGACGAAAATGCACTTTAAAAACGAAGAAGTAAAATATTCAAAACGCTGTGGTCTCGTGACAGATGACTTCATATCCCTCTTTTGGCCATTAAAAAAAATTTCAGGTAGAACATTGCGTTCCTGCAAATGTTCACCGCAGTGTGATGGAACATCGACTCTCTACAGCTATCGGCCTAGTCTCCCGACTTTTTCGCTCTTGCTCCCTTAAATTTTAAATGCCGGAAGTCAACTGATTATTTTTAAATGCCCCACACAACCCATCTTCAGAGACTCAGGGGCAGTCAGTCTTTCCTCGCGCCTTTTCTCCCGACCCGACTGACTGCCCCTGGGTCTCCGAGGATGGATTAATTCGTTTTCGACCGTTTTAGACCATCTACACTAATACGATACGTATGCGTCTTCGTTTTGATCCACTTTCAAGAGGGTTTTCAAATAAATGCAGTTTCGATGAAAACGCTCTGCGTACTAGTGTGGACTGAAGCCCTAAACGCATACGAAAACGCATTAGTACGTATGGACGGGGCCACAGTCAGTTTTTCTCACTATCCAAAATTCATTTTCTTTCTTGTTTGACCCCGGATAAATTAGAAAAGAAACTAAGGAGCATCTAACACACTGTAAATTCAAAAGATTTGATTGACTACCGAATTAAGGGCGGTTTTTGGGAAGGAAATTAAATGCGGTCTAAAGAGTCGGCTTCCAATTTTTCGAGAGTTTATTTTGACAGTAAAAATGGATGTCATGTTGGGCTGGAATAGAGATTTTACAGCTAAGGCTATTTTGGTTGTTATATATATATATATATACCTTCCAGCCGTATACAAAACCTAACACTACATTACAATACGTCCACCACGAGAGCAACCATCCACCAATCACTACAAAAAACATTCCCGTAGGTATCAACAGACGCTTATCATCTCTCTCATCCGACAAAGCCTCCTTCGACCAAGCCGCGCCCGCCTACCAGAAAGCACTCGACGACAGTGGATACAGCTGCACGCTTCACTACGAACCCACCCATACACGCAAACCGAAAAACCGACAACGCAATAACATTCTATGGTACAACCCACCCTTTAGCAAGAACACCAGTACCAACATTGGACGTAAATTCCTCGCCTTAATAGACAAGCACTTCCCCAAGGACCACAAGCTACGCAAAATCTTTAACAGAAACACCATCAAGTTCAGTTACAGCTGCATGAACAACGCAAAACAAATCATCGACAACCACAACAAACGAATCTTGACTGCCCATGCTAAGACTAATGCTACCACCGCTGCCGCCGACTCCGCCCCCACCATCATCAACAACAACAACAAGAAATGCAACTGCCGACAAAAGAACTCATGCCCGCTCAACGGGAATATATGTATATATAGAAAGTAAACTTCTGTGTCGAATGAAGATACTAAAAACAATGAAAAACGAAAGTCTTCTTTGCTTTTGCGCTACGCGTTTCACCGCTGTTGCGGCTCTTCAGGCATAGCAAAGTGTTTTTATGAACTTATTACGTCACAGACGTAATTGTAATTACAATTATAATGGCTCTTGTAATTCGTAGCACGCGCGAGCAATTAGCGTTTTCGTTTTTCATTGTTTTTAGTATATATATATATATGTATATATTGTGCTCAGAATGGCTTCAGAGGAGGCTACCATGCTAGCAGAAGTCAATTCCGGCGTGGGGTCTTAGCCGTGTGTATGGTGTCGTTCGCGTTGCTGACATTCTCGTAAGTTGGTTTTACGTTCCCGAGAGACGTAAATAAGCCACAAATCGCGAGGTCGATCAGCAGCGTGAACGGTACTCTGTACATGCTAAACACCATACCGGAAAGCAACCTCTGCTTGCACGGTAAGGAGAGACTGAATAAGACATTGGGTCCGCAGGAACAATTTGACGCTTTGGCGGAGGCTGGGTCAGATCTTTTAAAAAATTAAGAACTGATTTTCATTCTGGCCATATTGGAGGCAGAGCTTACCCTGGTTACTCTGTATAGCTTGGGTGATTTCATCCAGCTTACGGCTAAGCTTTATATCAAGTTTCTTGATCATACACGCAACTGCATTTATGTCAAACGCCATAGCACCACACGTGTCGTTTAAAACTGCTTTTAGGCCATTCACCGAGTATACGCTGGCCAGTAACAATGAAACCGCTGCAGTCAACAAGAGTTGCATTGTCTGAATCAAATTCCTGAAAACAAGGAATGAAAATAATTATGATAATTTTTTCTTGAGGATCCCCGGAGTTGGTCACGTGGTCAACTTATTAGCGGGAACTGAACGAGCATCTAAAATTATGTAATTAACCTAAAAAATTTCAACCGCATATCTTAACGGCCGCCGAAAACTTGGATGGAAAAACAACTCTTGCCACCCAATCACGTTCCAAAATTTTGAATTTTAAAATGTCGTTAAGGTGGCTCGATATAGTTTTTCAAGGTCAATACCTCCCAAGTTTGAGCGTAAACTGCGTCGCCATAAACAAGGATTTGGAAAAATTGACACCACAGTTGTATTAGATAAAGAAGAAAATTGGTTATGATCAGGGTTGC